TCACATGTCATGAATGCATTATGGGTCAGCGCACCTTGTCTGCGCGCCTTCCCAGAGATCCCCGCCCCATCTTCTCTGTCCATTTTCTCCGTCGCCACACATGTCGCCGCCATTTTTGGGAAAATTCGATTCGTGCATCCGAAGTTTGCTAATCTTCGGATTCGTCGCGAATAGAATTTTTCCAAATCTTCGGAACGAATTCCACTTCGTCATGTTCGATTCGCTCATCTCTAATTATAATGGGTGGTAGGTGTAAGCTCTTGGGGGGATCTTGTATTACCTGGCTAAAAGTTTAAATTTCATCTCTTTCATGTTAGAGTCCAGCGAGGAAGTGTGAGTAATGGAATCTTGGATTTTTGTTCCTCCAAAAGTATCTGTTGGAGTTCGTGTTTCCAGTTTTCAAGATATGATGGTATTGACCTTCCTCAACATTGAGTGGAGATTTCTATATGTAAGATACACAGTGTGTAGGAGTCTCTTTGGAACTCAATAAAGACTCAAAATGAGTAAACTGTAAAAGAGAGTGCAGGAGTTTGAAGAGAGGACATAAAGTTCAGTATCTGATCATTTCCTCTGAATCTATACAGTGGGCGCCCCATTTAGATCCTAAATCTTGTAGAGAGACTTTGTTCAACTCTATAGGTTTTGAAATCCTAAAGTGATTGTAAATCTTCATTTTTTAAATAATAAACATATATACTTACCTGCTCTGTGCAATGGTTTTACACAGAGCAGCTTCGATCCTCCTCTTCTGAGGTTCCCCACCAATGCTCCCAGCTCCTTCTGGCTCCACCGCCTGCCTAGGACTATAGACATAGAAGACAGAGCAGCTCAGCCCTACCTCCTGCTCCCTCATTACAGAATTTATTTGACAGCAGCAGGAGCCAATGGATCCCACTGCTATCAATCTGCCCTGTGAGGAGGTAGAGAGAGGAGAGGCTAGGGAGGGAGCTTGATACAGAAGGTTGCTGTACCTTAATGAAGAGAATGTATTAATGTAAAAAAAAAACCTTAAGCCTTTAGAACCAATTTATGGTGGAGGAATGGGTCCATTTAAGGAATGCTGGGTTGTCTTTTCCTGGTCAGAGGCAATTGCTTATGATACATTAGCAAACCAAGGGGTTGATTTGCTAAAGGCAAATCCCCTGTTCACTTTGCAAGGAAATTACTATTTTGCAAGGGAATTTTCCCCAAAGCTTTGTAAATGAGAGGAAATGTATCTTTGTAAACAATATCCTGCAAATATAATGCAAGGAAAATAAAAAAACAGCAATTTACAGGATTGAATTATTGAAGTCAGCAGAGCTTCACCCTATTTACTAAGCTCTGGGAAAAATTCCCTTTAAAGTGCATTTTCCTTTGCGAAGTGAAAAGCCTATTTGCCTATCAATCCTTAATTGTCATTCATTTAGGGTTCAGATCTACTTTGTAATAAACATTGTGATAAAACAAATTAGGCAATCTGTACATATTCTACACTTTCTCTTTCTAATAAATTTTTTGCGGGGACACAAGAAAATTGAGTTAAACTCTACAAATTCTGTTTCACTCATTCATATCTCAACCGTGTTAACCTGAACACCCAGCTACAAATGTTCTGCCTTAAAATGGAAACATAATCTGACACATTACTCTGATGAGATATAAGTTTATCAGTGAATTTGGCAGAGAACAGCAATTACTGTAATTCCTTTTAGAAAGTTGTGATTGCCAGGAAAAAACATCAGTGAAGTGCCATCTTCCACACTTCTGTTTTAGAACCTTTGATGCTATTTGTATGCCAGAATCTGTTGTGTGCTATGTAAATGGCAGATTTTATGCGTATTAATGAGTGGCAGTTTGTTTTTCTCTGTTTCGAGTAGGATTTGGACCTCAAAGATTAATATATGAAGACTGTGTATGTCGGGTTAACCCTTGTGTCACAGAATGTTCATGTTTTACCTGGAATAGTTCTGCTACCCTTCTCTCCTTCTCCTTCTTATGCATTTATTTATCACAGCTATGTAAATAGTGCTGACAATTTGCGCATCAATTTACATATATATTGTAGTACATTCACATCAGTCTCCTCCCTCAAGGATCTTACAATCTAAGGGCCCTATCTTACATACATACAAACATAGTAGGGCCAATTTAGTCACAAGCCCCTAAACCTACAAGTATGTTTTTGGAGTGTGGTAGGAAACCAGAGTACCCCCCAAAAAAACTTTGCATTGAGAACATACAAACTGCAGGCAGGTAGTGTCACAGTTGGGATTAAAACCAACAACCCTAATGTATGAGATGTGAAAATGTAATTCATGAAATGGACTGTAATAAATGTTTGCTTACCTATACCCGCGCAGTTTCTTTGTTGTGGTGCACTGGATGTTGGAATGTCATCAAATCTGTGTTCTTTTAAGGCATTTTTTATTTTGGAAACACACAAATATCACAGGGTGCAGGGTGCAATCAGTGGCATAAGGTGGTTTGTCAAGTTTCAGAATGGATTTCTGGGCCAGGAACTCACAAACACTTAAAGCATCGTGTGCAGGAGCATTGTCGTGGTGGAGAATCCACTTATCAGGCAAGAAGTTCCAGTCGTTTCCTCCAGATTCCCATAACCTTTTCAGAATTTCCAAGTAACAATGTTGATTGACCATTGCTCCATGTTCTATGAACTCGTAGTGAACTATCCCCTTGTGATAAAAAAAAAAACACACCAGCATGGTTTTGAACTGAGGAGACACATGTGCTTTTTTCAGGCCCTTTTTCTACTTCCTATGCCATTCATTTCTTAATAAAGTGTTCACCATAAGCCTGCTGTAACAAAACTAAAGTTTCACTTGCACTTTTGCCAATTATCATACAAAATTTGATGCTAATCCTCTGCTCCAGATTCCTGTCACTCATTTTCAGGCAACAGCACAACACACACAAGTGTTATATCTTCTAATACTCTGTAAAGGCTGAGTCAACTCGCCAGTTACCCAGGCCAGTGCAGGTTAGAACATGTCAGAACACTCTCGGCTTGAGTGTGAATGGCTGTGTGACTCACTACCATAGTGCTACGACGTGGACATTCCAGGAATTAAATCGGCACATCTCGATACTTATATATATATATATATATATATGTACAGTTGTGTTCAAAATAATAGCAGTCAGACATCACTAACCTGATCAATCACTATTTTTGGTAGAAATTATATTTCTACATGGCAAATAATTTACTAGCAGGTGTAGTAGAGTAATAGAAATCCAACAGACTGAACAGTCATGACATGCATGCTGCTGATTCTGTGTAATTGAATCACTAATTGAAAGGGGCATGTTCAAAATAATAGCAGTGTGGAGTTCTATTAGTGAGGTCATTCATTCTTTGAAACACAAGTGGCAATTATTGCCCTTTTTTAACCCTTCATGCCGGCCGCACGCAAATGTGTGGCCTCCCGGCGTCTGGACCTAGGCAGCAGCGAGCGGCCGCACATTTGCGTTCATGTAGCAAAAAACATATGTGCTGAGTGCGCGCACCCTGCGCGCTCCCAGCACACATGTGTGGTACTCATGGAAAGGTCCCGGTTTGCTGTTTCGATCGGGACCTTTCCCGATCATGTGACCGGCCGTGACGTGACGTCACGGTGGCCACATGACTCTAAGCCCACCCCATCCCGCCCACCTCCCGGCGCAGGAACTCCTCTTCACGCCAGGATGATCCGGCGTGAAGGGGTTAAGGAAGGATGGCAGCAATGTTGTACATGCCGGTTACAGTGCATTTCTCTGAGAGAAATGCACATACTGTACATTTTGTTTGTTAACGTATAAGGCCATATTGGGAAGAAATCACTCACAGGTTACTTTATTTATAAGAATTGAGACATTAGCTATGTAGTAAGACCTGCCACAAAGCAGCACAGTGTTTGTGATATCGAATGCTCTTGGATCTGAGTATCAAAGGATGAAGTCAGTACAGATGAAAGATTTGCAGCATTATCTAAGAACTCCTATAACAGAGGGATCTGCTCCTTGTTTCTGTAAAATGCATCCTCTTCACAATGACACAGATTACTCAACTATACAGAGGTGACTGGTCTAAAATACTGTAGGCTGTGCAGCCTTAAATTGGATCTGAGCATAAAAAGATAAAAAGATTTGCTAAATATAGGAAACAATAATGTTATCTGTGTCTGAACAGTATGCTGGCAGATTCATCCTTTGTCCTAAAGTCTTCTGACTAAACAGCAGTGCACTCCCAGTGCTTACAGCCTCATTGCTGCTAGTCTTATGTGATTTGGAGTGAGATTTGGTGATGTCACTCCTGTGCTGCTCACTGTTCTTCTTGCAGGAGAGAAAGTGTACCTGCAGACCTGCAGCGTAAGGATCTCCCTGCTTTTTCTTCATTCATTCTTTGGCTTCCCTTTTTGCCTTTGAGCAAAACATGGTTAAGTGCACACTGTCATGAAGAGTTGGTGGAGGACAATCTGCGCTCTACTCTATTTTCTTTAAAATGTCTCCGTAGTCCATGCCGACAAAGGTGCCACTGGAAGGTGGTAAGATGTGATTGATATATATGTGGGGCTGTGCCGAAGTAGAATGGCGTCCACCAATGAGGTGTCACATAATGAAATATCGACAAACTTCATTGGGGGGAGGGTGGGGCAGGAGTTGTCTTTCAGAAGAGTTCGTTTTAGAAGAAGTTTAGCCAGCAATTCCACTTCACTAGAGTGAAAACTCAACTTGCCTAAAGCCAACCACAGGGAAATATGCCCATGCAGGAAAAAGCAACAGGTTTACTCAACGCCTGCCTTTCTAATCTGCACAAACTCATCTTCACATTGCTCATCCCCTTCTCCATTCAGTCACATGGAGCAAATAGTGGAATCCCTGTTTAAACTCCAAGCCACTTAGCAAAGCAGGTAATGTTAGCCTGGTAAACCTGTGAAAAGCATCCTGATGACTCATCTGAGGCCATTTTGGTTTATTAGAAGTAGGCTGAGAGCAATAGAAGGGACTTTTTAGAATTAAAGTGGTTCTAAAAGCTCCAGGTTTTTTACCTTCATGCATTCTATGGGTGAACGTAAAAAAAAAACCTTCTCTGTGCAGCATTATCCCCCCCCCCTAATACTCACCTAAGCTCCTTCTCAATCCAGCAATGTACACTGGAGTCTTGGCTATCCCTGGACTCCCTCTTCTCATTGGCTGAGGCAGAAGCAGGAGCCATTGGCTCCCACTGCTGTCAATAACAGCCAGTGAGCCAATGAGAATAAAGAGGGAGCGGGGCTGAGCTGCAGCTCCGTGTGTGAATGGACACATGGAGCAGTGGGTGCCCCCATAGCAAGCTGCTTGCTGTTGGGGCACCCAACAGGAGGGAGGGGCCAGGTGTGCCAGCGGGGGACTGAAGAAGATGAGGATCCGGGCTGCTCTGTGCAAAACCACTGCACACAGCAGATAGGTATAGACATGTTTGTTATTTTTTCTTTAAAAAAAATAAGCCTTTAGAATCACTTTAAGAATACATACTTGAATAGTTTTTATTATTTAGAGTTTAGTGTCACTTTAATACACTAATTACAAGAACATTAATACACGCTGAAAATGCTATTTTGCAGAGAACCAGCTAAGTGAAATGATTTTAGTTAAATCTGTTAGACTGGAGGATGAAAGTATTCTGTAGTTTCTGTAAGATTATTCTATAACATTCAGTGAGATTAAGGTCACACAGATTTGCAGTGATGATAAATTCCTGAGAAGCAGAGAATGACGGAAGAATTCAGTCTGAATTCATAGCAGGTGCATAGTTATGGGGGTGAGAGAACAGGAAAGTGCACGAAAATTGCTTCCTTTACACTCTGGGCTGAGTTTATAAAAATATAACTTTGTCCCACTTCCCCCACAAATGAAGAATACAATGCTTGTGTCTCTAAGGGCCAGTTTAAACTAGAATGCGGAGGGGAAAAGGCGTGTTTCCGCACTGCCCTTGAGAGACATGGCGCCTTGAACACATCTAGCAAACACAGAGCATTTGTTGCCACCAAACTGTATGGTACCACAGTAGTACATAATACATACAGTTTGGTGGCGCGCAATTTGCAAAATTAGCACATGCACTACTGTTTGCGCTTTCCTGTGCATTTAGCAGCCTATTGAAATAAACAAGTGGTCCTGACGTGTAAAAATGCACGTTCAAGCATTCTAGGGTGAACTGGCCTTCAGAGATAAGATATGGCAGAGTATCACTCACCTTAAAGCGGCAGTAAACTCGTTTGAAAAAAAATAAAGTTTCCTGCTGCAAGGGAATATCATAATGTGATGCATACTAGCACATTATAAGAGACTTACCTTAGAATGAAGCCCTCCAATGGCACAGTGGCACCACTGACAGGGCTTCCGTCTTCACCCGGTCTTCCTTCCGGATTGGCGGGCTGCGGCTCTTTAATGGCCGAGCTATGGATGACATCATTCCCATGCATGGAGTTTCAGCCACGGTGCACAGCTCTGAAGGAATGGAATGGGTGATGTCACCGGTTGCTGCTTTATAGAATATCTCCTAAACGGTGAATGATTATTAGATATTCATTTTACCTACAGGCTAGCTTTATTATAAGCTTACCTGTAGGTAAAAATGAACAAAAAGAGTTTACTGCCACTTTAATCTAGAGTCCCACAGCAGTCAGCAGTCCAGTCTTCTCTCCAATGTAAGCAGGCATGCCTATATTATTATCTACAACTCACCTAGGTACACCACTAGGTACACCTTGCTAGTACCGGGTTGCACCCCCTTTTGCCTTCAGAACTGCCTTAATTCTTCATGGCATAAATTCAACAAGGTGATGGAAACATTCCTCATAGATTTTGGTCCATTTTGGCATGAGTTACTGTTGCCTTTATCATCTCAAACCAGTCTGCCCATTCTCCTCTGACCACTGACATCAACAAGGCATTTTCTTCCACACAACTGCCGCTCACTGGATATTTTCTCTTTTTTTCGGACCATTCTCTGTAAACCCTAGAGATGGTTGTGCAGAAAAATCCCAGTAAATCAGCAGTTTTTGAAATACTCTGACCAGCCGGTCTGGCACCATCAACCATGCCACGTTCAAAGTCACTTAAATCTGATTTCTTCCCCATTCTGATGCTCGGTTTGAACTTTAGCAACTCGTCTTTACCAAGTCTACATGCCTAAATGCATTGAGTTGCTGCCATGTGATTGGCTGGCTAGAAATGTGTGTTACCAAGCATTTGGCATGGTGCACCTAATAAAGTGGCCGATGAGTGTATAATGAAGGATCTGTAGTGGCAACCAGACCTGAATTGTATGTGATGATGTCAGCAAGGGGGGGCGGTGGCAAGACCAGTCAGAGACTATCAAGAAAAGTAGATTCGGGGGCCTGGTCATTACGGCTAATACAAGCAGGGAGGAAGAATGCAAATGAGGTAAAATACTTTTTTGTCTCATCCAACAAGCATTGTATTCATCTTCTGCTGGGGGGAGATATACATTTTATTTAGGCTTTAAAGTTGTTGTAAAGGATGAAGGTTTTTTTTTTACCTTCATGGATTCTATGCATGAAGGTAAAAAACCTTCTGTGTGCAGCAGTGCCCTCAACCCCCTCAAACCTTACCTGAGCCTCATCGCAATCCAACAATGTGAATGACAGCCTTGGCTGCCCTGGGTCTCTGCCTCCTTACTGGCTGCGACAGCAAGCGGGAGCCATTGGCTCCCTTTGCTGTCAATCATAACCAGTCAGCCAATGAGGAGAGAGAGGGGGCGGGTCCAAGTCAAGGCTCTGTGTGTGACTGGACACACAGAGCAGTGGGTGCCCCCATAGCAAGCTGCTTGCTGTGGGGGCACCCGACAGACAGGAGGAGCGAGGAGAGCCTGCGGGGGACCTGAGAAAAGGAGGATCCAGGTTGCTCTGTGCAAAGCCATTGCACAAAGTAGGTAAGTATAACATATTTGTTGTTTTACAAAGAATAAAAAAAATAACCTTTAGAATCGATTTAAGGGTAGCCTCACACCAGGTGCGGTGGGTGGGCGGCTATTCCAACACAGTCTTACTGCACCCCCACCGCAAGACAAGGCCTTGTCTCCAGTGTGGCCGGTTCACAACATCGTATTGTGGTGGTGTGTGTTGAAAAAAAAGTACTTCATACTGCACTTTTTTTCAAGTGCAGCACAGTCACTGCACGCCAGCCGATAGCACTTTATGAAATGTCACTTGCAGCATTTCAATAAGACCCGTTTTAAAAAAACGAACAGTGTGAAGCCCATCAACACTGTCTCCACCACAACCCACAGCAGCTGTTGTGGTGTAACACAAAGGCTGATATGAATGGACCCTAAAGGACAGATTTACTGTGAGAAATATGAGGGCTGAAATATCACTCTTCAACATTCAGCATAACTTCAGACAAAAAATGTTTCCTAGTTTTTGGTGGAGTGGTGGTGGGGTGTGTTAAGATCTCTATTACGTTTTGTTGAGATTTCCATTTTCTGCTGAGTCTATGGGGACAAGAAAAAAAGGAAACGCTCCCCAATTATCGATCTATCCAAAATAAACAATGGTTTGACTGGAATTACATTGTCAGCCCAACAATGTGGTTTAGTATGTCAATTAATTTTCTTTTGCCTAATCATGTGTTACTTTGATAATTGAATTAAATGTGTGAATTATGTACCCTGTGGTGCTCCAGAACTTAGCTTTTTAAACCTATATCTAATTTTTTTTAGAATTATATACTTACAGTTTTATACAGTGCAATAATGAGTACTGATATTCATGCTGGAGTTTTTTTTCCTTGCTGTTATTATTCTATGATTTGCTAAACTTTACACTCCTCAGAATTTGTTTAGGTTTGCCTCCTGTTATATTTTTAAAAAATTGAATTGTGGAAGATATGTCCAAAAATGCCAAGGAGAGGCAAAGGACTAGACACCATTATGGCCAGTTATCTCCGTGAAGTTGATTTTTTCCCCATTACTAACATACCATTTCTTGTCCTGCTTTGTAGAGGTGGCCATTTTGATAGAAGCAGAACTTTCTTTCATGTCAGGGCTACTTCCCTAAAAGACTGGTAATCTGATGAACAGTGGAATAACAATCAAGAAAATGCAGGTTAGGTGCAGGAAGCACAGATCCACAAAATGAATGAAGCAGAAGCAGGGGAGTCCTTGCATTGCAGATTCTCAGGTACAGCTTACTCTCCAGCAAGGAGAACATTGAGCAGCACAGTAGTGACAACACATTCCAAATCTTTTCCAGTGGGAATTGAAGATAAAAGGTACATTTTCCTGCGTACTGCGTAAGCATGATTACATTTCTAGATGTTCCCTATGAGATAACAACTCTTCACTTTTTGAGTTTAGGTTCACTTTGATAGAGCCATTCTATCTGCATTTAGATCAGCCCTTCTCAACCTTTTTAACATGGTAGAACCCTTGAAATAACTTTTTGGCCTCAGGGAACCCCAGCCAATAATTACTATATCTACAGCTCAATGTACATTAATATGGTGGTCACATGGAAGAATGTTCCTTACATTGGTGGTCATAGGAAAAAATTCCCTCTTAGAGATAGCTAAAAGCATCATTGTTGTCAGAGATTACGTATTTGAGAAGGAGAATTTTCTAATTACTAAAGGAACCCCAAGCAACTTCTGGAGGAACCCTAGGCTTCCATGGCACCCTGGTGGAGAAAGTCTGGCTTAGATCCAATACTGTATTATTTCAGAACAAGATAATTTTATATGTACCATTTGCAAATCTGGAACAAAAATAACTGTGCATTGGACAAGTATTAAAAAAAGTAATTTTAATTAAGATGCCATGTGCTGCATATTGAGGGACATGTGTTAGTCCATATTAACAACATTCTATATTTCTGGAACTAAAGACAGGAAGAGATGGAAATGATGACTATGTGCCATTTAGTGAAAGGGCATAGCTCTGGCTCAATATATGGATACTTGAGATAATTAACACTCAATTGCTGCTCAATAACTACGTTGGAGTACACTATAATTAAAGAAGTGATTAAATGCATTATTTTACAGATATATAAGTTTCAAAAAGAAGTTTAACTTTGTAAAAAGGATGTAAGTGCAAATAATTTTCATTGTGGAAATATTTTGGTAATAATTTTTTATAATTATGTGAAGTTTTCAGGAGATTTTCAAAACAAAAGACATTTTAAATGCTTCTCCACAGAAAGCCTGGTGGGGACACATTAGTCCCTGCCCTAAAGTAGTTTACAGTCTAAGGTCCCTAACTCACATTCATACATACAGTACACACATATTAGGGCCAATTTAGACAGATCCAATTAACCAACCAGCATGTCTTTGGAGTGTGGGAAGAAACCAGAGTACCCGAAGGAAACCCACGCAGGCACAGGGAGAACATGCAAACTCCAGGCTGGTAGTGCCATGGTTGGGTTTTTTAATCCGATGACCCTAGTGGTGCTAGGCCGAAATGCTAACCACTTCGCCATTGTTATGCTTATATTACAAAAAAATCTACAAAAAACTTATTTTTTCATTCATTATATAA